ATTGATGGCAACAAAAGTACCCTAAAGAATGTTTGCTTTTAGTGTAGTCTGCAGCCGCCACCCTAAATTATGCAGTCCCTTTACTAGTAAAATGACCTCTCTGTTGTTTTGTGATACCCACAGAGTATGCTCAGCCACTCGTAGGAGGAATTGTTGGTACACTTCATCAGAGATCTACCTTTAAACCAGAAGAAGGAAAAGAAGCAGGCTATGCAGACCTAGATCCTTACAACTCACCAGGGCAGGAAGTTTATCATGCCTATGCTGAACCACTCCCAATTACGGGGCCTGAGTATGCAACCCCAATCATCATGGACATGTCAGGGCACCCTTCAGCTTCAGCTGGTCTGCCCTCCACATCCACTTTCAAAGCTACGGGGAACCAACCGCCCCCGCTAGTGGGAACTTACAATACACTTCTCTCCAGGACTGACAGCTGCTCCTCAGCCCAGGCCCAGTATGATACCCCGAAAGGTGGGAAGCCAGGTCCACCTGCCCCAGACGAATTGGTGTACCAGGTGCCACAGAGCACACAGGAAGTATCAGGAGCAGGAAGGGATGGGGAATGTGATGTTTTTAAAGAAACCCTTTGAAGGTGATGCTGCTTTTTACAAAGCATCGTTTTAAAGCACATGGCCTTTTTTTTTTTTTTTTTTTTTAATTATTAGTGGTAGTAATATATAGAATGTATTACATATCTGTCACTGAAGTAGTTGGGGAAAATGTGGTGACTGAGGTACAGGAAACTACTAATCTTGCCATCTTGCTTTAAAGGTGTTACGGTGGCACAGTTACTGCTCGCCTGTTAAATTTCAAATGTCCTGTTTGATACTACTGTAGAACACTATTTTTAATACAGAAAAAGCTCCCTATAATGCACTTCAGAGAAATGAAAAATCACTGAGAGTATTTATTACCAATGCTGCAGGTACATTAATGAACTCGAGACGGCTCTGTAAGCCTGACTGGCAATGGCGCACGGTACTGTTCTTGAAATACCTAATGGCTTGAAATTCTAGTCTTGTTTGTGAAAGATGGGTACTATCATGATTTCCTCTTTTATTCCTATATTCTTTTCTGGATTATGTTTTTTTTAATAATTACTGATATAAGCATTGTTTTGATTGCAGCCGTATCCACTTATCCATCTTAAGATCTCTAGCTGGGATTCTCTGACTTGTAATGAGCAGGGGGATTGCTTTTTCACTTTGTGACACTCTTTAGAGCTTTAATGCTTCACAGTATATGGCCTGGTCTCGTCCTTGCGTGTTCCACTTGAGGCCCTTGGTGGCTTGCCCCATTCTTGTGTTTGTAAAATGTTTATTTCTGATGAGTGATGCTTGCCTTAGTCTCATGAATTCAGATCCCTTCATGTCTTTAAGTATGTTCCTCTATGTGTAAACAGGAACAACTTGACGATTTGAAAGCTTTAAAGGAGATTCTTCTCCCACCCCCAACTTTATTTACAATGAGATTTTTCCTAGGAGAGTTATGAAAAGTTGAAGGCTTCTAAGGGAGTGCTGTAAACATGATCCACTTACATTTATCACAGTGAAAGGCAAAATTATTCACTCAGAAGTAATATAAATTACCTCTTTAAAAAGTAACCAGAATTTGTCCTTTTGGGTTTTATACATTCACAAAATATACATTTTTCTTGAGTCTCAAGGTATTTTATATTTTTAGTCAGAAAAAATAATTTTTCATTTCAGTTTTCCATAAACTATTACACACAATATAAACCTAACGTGTATTTTTCAGGACTGCATGATCGTGCACTTAGTCTGTGTGGTAAGAGGTTTGAGTAATCCTGTATGTCACCTAGGGAACAGACATTATAGCTTCCTAGCAAATGAATATTCATGCCTTGTTTTTGATACCTCCTGGCAGCTTCCATGTCACCACTTGTTCATACCTGCCCAGAGCTAGTTTTAGACACAGCAAAATAGAAATCCTCTGTAATTTATTAGCCAACAATGTAAAACCATCTTTAAAAGCCTTCAGACTGGCAACATGACATGAGCAGTTCACCATATGATAAAAATATATAAATTTGACATTCCCTCTTCCATAAACCTTTGTCTGTAGATTTAATGTAGAACAGTACTTTTCCATAAAGTTCGAGTCACTTCTGTTGGCCTGAGCCATCAGATTATGTTGTTGCCAGAATTCACTCAATTTGAATAATGATGAACAGTATTTGTTTTCTTGCTTCCATGAATTATATCAGTATTCTAAAACATTGCTTCAGAAAGAGAGCTGTTTCTTTCTGCAGGCTTCCTGCCCTTTTGTGGTATGGTTTTGTTGGCCTTATTTTCACTGGTTTTTCCTTCTCCAGACTTTGAGGCGCAATTTCATTCATTGAAAAATCAATAGCTATTTTGTTTCAAAATGTTTGAAACAAAAGACATAGATGTTAGACTTTTATTAAAACACACATGGATGTGTAAAGCACATGTATTATTAACGCAGTCATCCCTTTTCAGGTGGGAAGAGAGCAAACCAGTTGATTTTTTTAATTCATCCTTAACACAGAGAATATACTTTTCCTCAAGTAATATACCTGTTTGAAGCTTTAAGAGAGATGTTTTTGGTAACTATTTCATTTTCCCAAAGAAGTTTGCTATTCTTATGTTAATTGTGTATACCTGATTGTTTTTTCCTGGAGGTTTTTGTTGTTGTTGTTTAGTTTTGGGTTTTTTTTTTTTTTAAGAGGCAAGTGTTTCTGAAATGATGCATATTTTAAGACTCAATTCATATTGCCACTGTGCTATCCTTGAACTACCAATAATTTTTATAAAATATCTAGTTTTTACTACTTTTATATAAACTTTACTTTCCAGATGAAGAGCTGAGCCTGATTCAAATGGTTTTTCTGCTTTGTACTTCTTTTTAGTTTATTGGTTTTTATAGTAGAGGTTTTCTATTTTTTTTTTTTTTTTTACTACATTTATATCTGATACATATATAGCTTTGGAGACAATCAAGTAACAACTGAAAATGTGAAAGTAACTGTATCTGACAAAATTCCCTTGTATTTTTATCCTTTGCTTGCAACATTTAAGACTTAAAGTCACTGGTGTATTGGATTAAGTTTTTTCTTATTAATACAGTTATAGAAATACATCCGACACACAACAAATGTGGCCATTACAGGTTTCATAAAATTACACTGACTTGGCTGTTACTTGATCTCAGGAAACAGCACAGTTTTAAGATATTGTGAATTCTGACTTATGCTTTATTAAATGCTGTAAATCTAAATAGATCCTGTTGTATGTGCTGGGTCTAGTCCAGTTTATTTAAGTCCACGTTTCACTGTTTGCACTTTGCATTGAACAATGGGTTTATTCACTGATGTAAACGGTTCGAGTGAAGAATTAATGCAGTAATTACGACAACACATACACTTGCCTCTCCCCATCCCCAGAAGAGGGGAGCAGAATCCGAGCTTATCTAAATATGAATGTGGCCACAAAGCTGTGGAAAGTGACAAAGCTTGAACACCTTTGCCCTGGCTCTGCATTGTCACCTAGAGAGCAAGAGGTCTATAGAAACATCATGTCAGATGAGACGATTCTCTGCTTTTTGGTTCTGAACTTGAAGTCCCTAAACTGCAAAATCTAAATAAGAGTTGGATGGTTGTTAAAATGCTTTTAAAGTCAACTGTGGCACCAATTCTCATGTAATCCAACTTGTTTTTTTTTTTTTTTTTTTTTGGTGGCACGGGGCAAAGTGGAAACAAACATGTATTGAAATACATATTGGAAATAAAAATGGTTTGAGCGTCAGTGATTTCTCCCAGAATGTACTTTTCTTACCTCGGCATGTACTGTAGTCACTCAGTATTTGTATATGTTGCTAGAATTTAGATTGTAAAATAGTGAAATTTTAATGTGTTCATTTGTTTTTAATAAATTGTATATATGTTTTGCTCAGATTATTTGGTTTAAATAAAACAACCTTGAGGTTTGTAGCTTTTCCTTATACTATAAAAATGCCAGATTCTTCTATTTTAACATCACTCATTTATGGCCAATATTGTGCTTCCAGCAACATTTGAAAATGCCACTATTGGTTTTTGACTTTTTCTATGACCAGCAGCATCCTTTTTTTAAAAAAGTAATTTCTTGGGAGGCCGAGACGGGCGGATCACGAGGTCAGGAGATCGAGACCATCCTGGCGAACACGGTGAAACCCCGTCTCTACTAAAAATACAAAAAACTAGCCGGGCGAGGTGGCGGGCGCCTGTAGTCCCAGCTACTCGGGAGGCTGAGGCAGGAGAATGGCGTAAACCCGGGAGGCGGAGCTTGCAGTGAGCTGAGATCCGGCCACTGCACTCCAGCCCGGGCGACAGAGCCAGACTCCGTCTCAAAAAAAAAAAAAAAAAAGTAATTTCGCCTTTTATTTTAGATTCTAAGGGTACATGTGCAGGTTTGTTACATGGGTATATTGTGTGATACTGAGGTTTGTGGTATGAATGATCCTGTCATCCAGGTTGTCAGCATAGTACCCAATACATAGTCTTTCAGCCCTTGCCCTTCCTCCTCCCCTCACTCCCCCCGCCCCTCACTCCCCCCGCCTCAGTCCTCAGTGTCTATCGTTCCCATCTTTATGTCGTTGTGTACCCACAGCACCATCCTTTTTGAAGCCTGATTTACTTTATATCAACTGAACTTCAGCAGCCACACTGCAGCCTGTAGCTGTTGGTATGAGGGGAAAATCACACTGATTACATGTGATTCCAGTTCTGGTACCTTCCTTTTGCACCTCAAAGTTAGAAGAAGAATCAAAACTGTGGCATTCTGCAAACATATGCTGGTATTCATAGAACATAGTCCATAATTAATGTCTGATCTGGGTTAAATCAGCTACTACTATTCTCCCCTTTATCCTGCTTTATAAGTACTGCATTCTGTTTCTGAGCCCGATCTAATGTATTTCACCCTTTATACACCCTCTTTAGAGAGGCAGGTTGGTTGTCAGTAATCAAGCCATGATTTTCCAGTGTTTTCCAATTGTATTTATTGTTCAAAAGAGAGTAATTCTTTCTTCAGCTCATACCTCTTCTGAAAACTTTTAGTTCCATCCTTATAACCTCTATTGTTCTGTTCCTTCACCTCTCATTCCCCCACCTCCAGATGGCCTTTGGTTACATTTATTAAAATACAGGAAGGGAGACTACCTCACCACATTTGTAGGCTTGACTGGCTTGCATTGGATCAGATTCTCTGGTGCACCCTAGGTAGCCAGGCAAGCTTTCCATCTGAAGATTAGCTTTAATCATGGGAAAATGAGATTTTCTTTTTTTACCATTTAAATCCAAAAATGCCAACTTCACTTTTTTTTTTTTTGGAAGACAGTCTCGCTGTCACCCAGGCTGGAGTGTAGTGGTGCAGTCTCGGCTCACTGAACCTCTGCCTACCAGGCTCAAGCAATTCTCATGCCTCAGCCTCCTGAGTAGCTGGGACTATAGTGCGTACCATGACGCCCAGCTAATTTTTTTGTATTTTAGTAGAGATGAGGTTTCACACCATGTTGGCCAGGCTGGTCTTGAACTCCTGAGTTCAGACAATACCAGCTGCCTCCCTCAGTCTCCCAAAGTGTTAGGATTACAGGTGTGAGCCACCATGCCCAGCCTCAGCTTGACTTTTCTTAAGTGTTTACTTGTTCTGTTATCTTATGTACCTTTCCTAATTTACTTCAAGTGGAAAACCTTCAAAATTTAATAAGTCAGGCAAAAAAAAAAATAATGTTGAAGATTATTTTCCCTTCTTGAGCTTGCCTAGCTTAGCTTCATTGTATAAAGTTAAACTTCATTTCTTTAAAATAATACAAAGCCATCAGACTTTAGTAATTGTATTCTTTAGTTATTTACTTATCTAGAACTTTATGTTTAGCCTATTTCCTTTAACTTAAAAACACTGCCTTCATTGTACCAAATTACTCTTCACAATCATGGTTCATTTAATTCTGGGGTTGTCAGGGGAGAGCTTAAACCAGTATGAACTTAGATTTCCAGAGCCAAGTGGTTTCAGCTTGCCACATCAAGCCACAATCATGTGATTTTCCACGAGCCATGTTTACAGTAGCCAAATATACTTCTCAAAATGTCTTACTACAGTCAGAATTGTTGTGGTAAACTAAATCCTTAGTAGGAAGTCATATCCCTTCAAAAATCTAAGATGAAGTTACTATAAAAAGACATGTAAAAACACCTCAGAAAACTAGCTTATTTTAAAAACAATGCAATCAAAACTTATTTTCCCGATATCTTAACCTTTCTTGGTTTTCATAAGTTAAATATACAGTATTCACAGAAATTAAGCTGCTGGTTATGAATCACCAGGCAGCAACAGACAATAAACATAATTCTTTGATGAGTGCATCCAACATATTTTAAACTAAAAATTGCAGTACAAAAATAAAACTAACACTGTTAGCATCATCTTCCGAGTCTGTAGAGTCAGTCTTGAGTCAAGTTGATTACCAGGTTTTTGTCTATAATGTCCTTCAAAAAGAGCTGCTCTGCAGTCACATTGTGATACGCGTTCTAAAGAAGAAAAATGCAGTTACCGTCTTTCCCAGTCTCAGCGTGTTAGCAGTACCGATGGAATACTTCATATTTAAAAAGTTCTGAATGAAGAACTCGAACGTTAAGTAACGAGTTGCATGGACTTTTAACTTTTGATAGCCTTTTAAATTACTTTCCTTGCTGGTTCTTGTGCAAAAGCTTTCCCTACAGCCCACTCTTTCCACTTCAACTCTCACATAAGTAAGGCTTCTTCATATCAAACGCTGGTAGACCGAATCATGGTACAATACAAATCTGGAGACCAAAATTTTGAGTTGTTCACTTTAATAGAAGAAGCCCCTAGAGCTCAGTTTAAGAACAAACAAAAAAGTCAGCCTGGAGATAAGAAACTTATAATGCCTAGTTCAGTTTAAGATGTGTTAAAAATTGCTGTTCTATACATGAATATCTAAGTTTTCTTCCTGAGGAAGTTGTTTTAATATTCTACTTTTTAGGTGACACTTGAAATACCACAAGTGCTACAGGAAAGTTTAGGGCTGAGGAGAAATGAGCCTAATCCAAAGTCTGTTGGGGCACCTAATTCTTGAAATACTTAAGTGCTTGTCTTACGTGGTGGGGACAGAGGATGAGGATGAGGGACAAAAGACAATACTAAAATCTAACCTGATTTATGCCACTTCCTCAGCTTATATTATAGTGGGATGATTCAAGGGGACCCATTTCATGAGATATATCCCTATACTTTATATCAAGTAATATTTCAATATTAAAAGTATACAGATAACATTTTAATCCTATCACTTGTGATGCACTACTAATTTACATTAGAATTAGAAAACTAGGAAACTCCTTCCCAGTCAAGTAAAATACAAATCCTTAGTCAGGCACAGCAGCTCATGCCTGTAATCCCAGCACTTCGGGAAGCTAAGGCGGGCAGATCACATGAGGCCAGGAGTCCGAGACCAGCCGGGCCAACATGGCAAAAACTCGTCTCTACAAAAATACAAAAAAAGAAAAAAAAATTAGCCGGGCATGGTGGAGGGGGTGCCTGTTATCCCAGCAACTAGGGAGACTGAAGCAGGAGAATCACTTGAACCTGCAGGCAAAGGTTGCAGTGAGCCGAGATCGTGCCACTGCACTCCAACCTGGGCGAAACAGTGAGACTCTCTCAAAAAAAAAAAAAAAAAAAAAATTAAAGCGAAATTGTTAAAAAAACAAACAAAGTACAAATCCTCACTATTAATCCCTATTCAAGAGAAGTGTGATCCAGTATGAAGGTTTGTAACCTTTTTGACCATGAAGATTCTCTTGTAGGGTTAAAATATTCTAGATCATCTTGTCTACTTATAAACAACTGAGAATAATTAAGCATAGCAATGCAAGGTGAATTTGTAATATCTCAAACATAGCAGGTTGGCTGAATTTCCATAGTGCAAATATGATAGAATATCTAAAGTAAGGTTCTGTACTTATATGGATTTGATGACACTTGGCAATAACCATGAGGCCCATAAATTGGGATTTGATGCTGTAGTAAAATGATCCTGTACATGAGTTCTAGTTGCAGCCCTTGCTAGCCCTGTAATCCCCATCAAGCCCTCAACCACTCAAAACCTGGTCCCTTAGTAATGAGTGTGAGAAGAGAAAATATGGGATTTCCATCCCTCAAGGATTAGTCCAAAGCATATGTATATTACCTAAAGTATATTACCTTACTCATCAAAGACATGGTGGCATTCCCATAGTAGTGCAAAGGACTCTTGAGGTCAGAAAAGTTGTATTTAAAACCAGCTAGGTGAACTTCGTGACATATGTAAAATGCCAATGTGATGGCAATAATTCCTGTTGTTGGGTGTTTAGGTTTCTGGGGGAGGGAACGAAAAAAAAAATTTTAAGCAAAAGGAGCTACTTGTTTGCAAAGCATATTTAGTTGGCCGAATCATATAAAACAGGGATTTCTAAACATTTAATAAGGAGAAAAATAATTAAGCTCTCATATAAGGCTCAAGCCCCAAAGAGTATGCATATATACCTTAACTCTAAAAAATATATAAACTGTGACTGAAATATTAGGAAGTCTTTAAAATAAAATATAGCTGCGGTATTAGCCCAGAGGACAACTATCAAATGAAAGAATACTGTGAGGCTTAAGGAAGAGAATGTTACTGTCTTGTTTTAAAAAATACAAAAACATGATGAGTCAGGCTCCTTAAGGCAAAAGCAAAGCCTGGGAATTTTGAACACATGTATGAATTTTAAGGACAGCTTAATTTGCAAATGGATGGAATCATGATAAAAGACTTCATATAAATTCGCCTTCGAATAGCTATATTTTCTACTCACCATTTAACTCTAGGGAAAGGCTAATCAAGCACTTCAATGACAAATTGTAATAGTATCTGACTAGAAAATAAATATTCCAAATGCATACATAGCAATATCACAATCTCAACTGCACCATTAGTTTTTTAGAAAGAAAAACCAAGCATCCTCTTTCCTTGTCTTACATATATCTTGAAAACCAGTCTGACAGATATTTGACAAGAGGGTCTTGGCTTCCAGAAATTATAATTTTCACTGAGATGGGCTTCAAAGCAAAAAAGATATATCGTAAGCTTTTTATATAACGCTTTCAATAAAGTGTTTCTTATAGTTCCCATTGAAATTACATATGACTTAGTATGATTTTGAGGAAAAGAAAAAAAAAAAAATCGAAGAAGCACAATCAAATCAAATCAACTCCAGGAGGCAAACTTGTCTGAAAGTGTTAACTGCCTTCAGCATAAACTTTTCTTTATCCTATGTACCACTGTAACCTAGGAGTCGTTCAGCCTCAGTGATCCCATTACTTTTTCCTTCTCCTTGCCCCTTTTCATGTCTTCTGCTTCCTTTCTTCACATCTTAAGAGTCCTTCGGCCGGGCGCGGTGACTCACGCCTGTAATCCCAGCACTTTGGGAGGCCGAGGCGGGCGGATCACAAGGTCAGGAGATCGGACCATCCTGGCTAACACGGTGAAACCCCGTCTCTACTAAGAATACAAAAAATCAGCCGGGCGTGGTGGTGGCGCCTGTGGTCCCAGCTACTCGGGAGGCTGAGGCAGGAGAATGGCGGGAACCCGGGGGGCGGAGCTTGCAGTGAGCCGAGATCGCGCCACTGCACTCCAGCCTGGGGGACAGAGCAAGACTCCGCCTCAAAAAAAAAAAAAAAAAGAGTCCTTCATCCGTCTTTATAACCACTCCTTTATGTAGACCAGCTCTTCTGCAGCCATCACTCACAGAACCTATATTACCACCTGACAAAACTCTTAGAATAGGAATAAGCACTGCAGTCACCCTGGACCCACACCCCAGCAACAGAATAGGGCAGCAGAAAAATATGCTTATCACCCAACTCTCAAACAGGCATTAAGTATGCCCAGCAATCCAGTTACGTTTGACTAGTACATTTCCATTCTTACTCTCCAAGATGAGAATGTATAACTTTGTATCCTCCAACAGCCCTACTCTCCTTCCTAATTTGACTATTTAATCTCTATTTTTTTAAGGAAACAAAAGCAGTCAAAAGAGTGACGTCATCATCCCAACTCCAAATCTACCATCTTACCTGTATCTTTACTCACATTTGCAGTGCTTATTCTCCTATAATGGATGAGATGTAACTTCAGCAGCTTTTCACTAGTCTATATTTTATCCCATTTCACTTCTCAACAATTTTACTTCTATACTTATCTACTTTCTCCCCTCATCATGTGTTTCTTTCTGCTGAACAACTCCCTTCAGCATATACACAGACCAAAAAAGAACAAAACACGCTTCTTCAATCCTGTATCATCTTCCAACTACTGCTTCATTTCTCTGATCCTTGTTCTAGCAAAAAGTCCACTAAAGATTTGTTGCTGCTTGCTCATGTCCCAGGTTCTCTTCAACCTAATTCAAGCAGGCTTTTTCCTTCTTTATTGTTGTCAATATATATCACCAATATGACCTCCACGTTTCTAAAACCAGGGTTTATTATTTACGTTCAACCTCTGGACAGCATCCGATATGGCTGACTTCTCTTGAAATACCGCATTTGGTTTCTGGGACACCATGTCCCACTGGGACTTTGATATAGCTACAGTTTGTTCTAATGTTATCACTAAGTATGTTCAGGGTCTTCCTGTGCTTTTGGAATTAAAGATATTACCTAAAATGAAGAAGCAAGAGATGTACCTGATCATACTTCACTTAGAAAGATAGGAACTGAAAAGTCACAAAACACATTCAGAAGTTGTCCTTTACCCTGAAAATTACTAGGAAGTCAGCTTTAAAATCAAAACACGGATGCTTTTTGACTTGAGCATTCCACTTCCAGCAGTCTATCCTACAGAAATCCGACAAATGGGCAGAAAACCCCTATAAACACAGGTACTACTACATTATTTAAAGAGAAGACAATGTTGGATATATCTGAGTGTCTATAAATAGGGGAAGAGTTAAATAAAGGGAAAAAAGAAAATAATACCTATGGTATAATCATAATTATACTGAACAAACAAAAAGGGTGTGTGTTTATGAATGCATAGCAAATAGTCTGGAAGCACATAAAAGGTAGAAAAGCTTGAGAGATTACATGGGTTACAGAGGGAAGAGAAAAGAATGGTGACTTCCTTTTTGATTTTTAACATTACTTTATTTTCAGTGTGCAACACTAACTTATTTGTTTTCAGCATATAACACTTTTGAATTTCTTAATCATGATTTTTATCATGCTAAATATACATCATGAAAATACATGATATATATTTATTTCTTTGGATTTTTCCCTACTTTAAAAAGGGGGAAAAAACTCATTTCAGCCAAGGAATCATGTTATACAGTTACTCAAGCTTCCAGTGAAAAATATATCTGCCACCGTATGGGTGGAGAGTATTGTTTTCTAGGGAAAGTAGGCAAACAGGAGTGAAAGTCAATGAGATTTCAATTTGAAGTTTCAAGAACTCTTTCAATATGGCTGTAACTGCCATTTCTTGAGAATTCAGTGCCAACATTTCCTCTGACCACAGAAATGTTTCTGGACTACTTTATTGTCCTTCCTCACCTTTCCTCTGGCTTTCCTGTGATATTTTTATCAGAGCATCTCAGACAGTTCTTTTCAGCTTGCAAAGCCATGCACTTGTCCTGAAGCCAGGCCAGCTACTCTGAGCACAAGCCTGCCCGTCAGCCCACCCAGTCAGACTCTTCTCACTGCAGAACACTGAAGACAGAGTTATGAAAGAAAAACTGTTTCGGCATGCGCAAAGAGACCCCAGGAAGGCCCTACAAGGGCAAGAAAAAACCCAACTTAAAATTGTATTTCCTTGCAACATAAATGAAAAACATAAAGATAATATCCACAGATAACTACTTTTACTAACTCAGAGATGACCCTCAGAAATCATCTCACGAGATGATTTTTTTTTTGAGAGTTCCCAGGACCCTCTATCCTACCTCAGCCAGATCTGTAGTTTGAAACCATGCAGAGATAAATACATACCTGATTTTTGGGGAACACTTTTGGAAAATGAAGCAGTTCATAAGCTGCTGTTCTGATAATGAAAGGATCTAATATTCGGATTTGATAAGGTTTATAAATCAGGTTTAAGGCTGGTTTCTTCCAAAAACCATTAGTGTTCTGAAAGTAAGAATATAGAGAATAGAACAGTGTGGCTGTCTTTTTAAGGAAAAAAAGCACTAAAGGTAATTTGAAGGCAGAACAATTTTGCCTACTTACTATTTTGTCACCCATCAACAATTCCAACAGCCACCTTAAATCATGTGGCTTAAAAGCAGTGAGAATCACTGTCGTATTAGGGTCATTGTGAATGGGATCTGAAAAAACAGATTCTGGATAAAAAAGTCGGAAGGTTGTCCTTCTCCCAACTTCTTCTTCGTGTCCTAAAACAGGACCATTATTCATTCTGTGGATAGTAAAACATACAAGATATGTAGACCAAGTGCAGTATGTGCCATTTCCATCACAGTTCTCAGAGGTTTCAGAGTTGGACAAACATCAGCCTTTATCCTGCACTCTGAAGCCACAAAGCAACAGATCAATCTTTCACACATAATGGCCAAGAAGATCATTCCTTTTCATTAAATCATTGGTTGATCAAAGGCAGAAATACTCATTTGTGTTTAAAAATTAATTGTGGAGCCAATGATAATTCAGTCTTCCCTCCAGGGGAACTGAAGACTAAATTTTAAAAATGGGAACACAGAGCCCCAGGATACCAGAGTTGAAAGAGACCTTGGAGGACAAACCCCTGGAGAGAAAATTACTTGCTCAAAGCCACACAGTCATATAGCACATGGATGTGTGTGACCAACAGGTAAGAAGAATCACATTTAAGTTGGTTTAAAGACCCATCAAAATTGTTGTACTCTGAAATAAAGTTAACAATATAAATTTGCTATATTATATTCAAGCACAACCAAATGAATGTCTATTGCTAGAGTAAACTAAAGAACCACAAAGGATCTACTGTTGAGTTTGTGTATGCTGAAAGCCAAGGTTGGACATGTACTATTTATGTACACATTACGAAGGAATGCTATAAAAAAAGAAATGCTGTTTCCAAAACAGTGTCCCCAAGGAGGATAAATACTGTTTTGCCCTTTGCCACTGACTCTATGTAATATAAGACGAACAGACTTAATAACACTTGAGATGACTTTCAAAATATTGTACCCATGGCATTTTCCTGTAAGGGCTTCCTGTGGCTCTAAATTATCAGATTTAGACCATTATGGGTAGAGAAACCTGTGATTGCTCTAAAATTGTTTTGTAGGTAAATTATCACAGCTTCCTCAAAATGGATATTAAACAGAAAATAAGGTGACCTCACCATGCAGAAACCCTAGGCAGCTTGAAACCCCACAAAACCCCCAATACTGCCAAACCATCCTAATGTATTGCCTCAGTATGCTAACTTTGCCATTCTTTAAACTATTCATAGCTGCTCCTAACACACACACACACACACACACACACACACACACACACCCCAGATGACCTTATCTCAACCTTTCACTAAAAAAACAGAGATAGAAAGGGCCGTATTTTCCCCTCACTACATCAGAGGGACTCTTGGTAGTTGTAACCATGATTCTGGCCCTCCTTTCCATTACAAACCATTAACCACACTTGTATTCTGAACCCCCTCCCCTCTCTTTTACCAGACCAATCTCTTTCTCATTTCCACCAGTTAACCAATATGCTATAGAGCCTCCAATCTTTTCAAAAGAAGAAAGCAAAAAAAATCTCCCCTGACTGCATAACCATCTCTAACTGCCATCTGATTTCTCAACTCCTCTTTGAAGCAAAACTTTTGGACTACATTGGTTTCTCTACATCTTCATCTGTACATTCAGCTGTACATTCTCTGCATTCCCTCTTCAACCTATTCCAGCCGGACTTCTTGCCACATCATGCCTCAAAGCCTGCTTTTGTCAGGAGTGTCAATGAGCTTCAGGTCACCAGTCCAATGGTCACCACTCTGTCCTTATCTTGCATGACCTCTCACCAGCACTGGGACACAGTTGGTCACTCCTTCTGTCCTGAAACACTTTGCCCTCTTGGCTTCTGTGATCACTTTCTCCTGATTTTCGTCTTACCTCACTGGTGGATCCTCTTCATCTCCTTTACACATTCCTTTTTCTTTGCTCAACCTCTACACTTTTGAGTTCTCCAAGACTCAGTCCTCTCTCTTCTCTCAGTCTCTCCTTGAGAAATCTCACCCAGTCCATGGTTTAAATACAGCTTATAGACCATACACCATCAAGATTGTAACCTGTTTATCCAACTGCCTACTCAACTTACCCACTGCAAATCTAATAAGCATCTCAAATCTAACATGTTCATATCATGGTTTTCCTCTAAACCTGCTCCTATACCAGTCTCCCCCAACTTAATGATACCACTCTCCAGTCAATCTCCTAAGCTGAAAACAGAGTAGGAGGCATCCTTGATTTCTTTATTCTCATTACTCTTCACATCTAATACCACAACACATCCTGAAAACTCTATGTCTAAAACACATCTGTAGTCAGTCCACATCTCTTCCTCTCCTATGACAATCCTGCCCAAGCCACCATCATATTATACCCGAATGCAGCAACCTAATTGGCCTCTTCATTTCCACCCTTGTCCCTCACCTTCCATTGTCCATGCCACAGCCAGAATATTTAAGAGATGACCAGATTGCATTGTTCTCTTGCTTAAAACCCTTAAAAAGCTTCCTGTTGTACTTAAAATCCAAGTTTCTAATCCTAGCTTACAAAGTCCTCTGCAGCCTGATCTTTGCTCACCGCTTCAGCTTCCGATTGCACCACTCTCCGTGTGCCTGCTACTTTCCAGCCTCACTGGGTTTTTGTGCTGCTCCTCTCAAACTCAGGATCATCTCCTCCTGAGGCCCTGCAACAAACATCCTTTCTGCCTGGACTGCTCTACCATCATCTTCGTATGGCTATTGCTCCGTGGTCACTTGGGCCCTGCTTAGATGTCTCTTTCTCAAAGTGGTCAATCATTACAAACGAGCCATTCAAAGATTCTCTATTATATCCTTTTTAAATTATGTATGGCATTTATAATTTTTATATATTTAATTACTCATTTTCTTCCCTCCACAGGGAGCACAAACATTGCTCTTATCCACTGCTCTCTCTCCTGTGGCTAGAAGCATGCTGGCATACTAAGGAAACTTAACAAATATTTGCTAAACGAGTAGCCTGAAATCTAGGCCTAACTCTAGCCAACAACCAAGAGAGAAGGTTGTGCAATAAAATACACTAACAAACGGAAACATCTCCCCTTCCTTTTAAAACACAGCTGTATTAAGGTAAGAAACCATATTCTTTTGAAACAATTCCAGGGTAGCAAATAGAAAATATATTTACCTTATTATTACATCATAGGAGTCGATTTTTTCTCCTAATGTCTTATTCTTCAAAACTCCTCCATTACCAACCACCACACACTTTTTACAGGGTATGCTGTTGGACAGATGGACAAGTGAGAGATTGAGCCATCTTTTACAAAACTGGTTCCAAGAATCCACGCGTACTGTCAGACACCCAGTGCCACATTCCACTTGTTGCGCAAGTAGAAAAACAACCAACTGCGACTTAGCAGTCTAGAGCTGTATTAAAAAGATACAAGATTCAATGAGTAACATTCTATAGGAAGAGCATATCATTGTACGCAACTAGTATCAGCCCATACACGTTCTCTCATTCGATTCTCATAGCCACCTACTGAGATAAGTAAGCCTGATATTCCCATTATACAAATGAAGAGGGAGGTTCAGAAATCTATTACGTAACATTTTAAAGTCATACTCCAAAGTGGAACTAGCATGTGGATCCAGAACTTGAGACTGAAACACCCCTCCATATAGGACTCTGCATGTGTGTTTTACATTATGTAGGTCTACATTTTCTGCCAGCATCACCCACTCCTCGAATATGCTACCTCTGGCTCTCTGCTGCATAAATGTGGATGGACAGTTTGGAATCTGGTGAGAAAAGTGCAGTTTTGTGTACCCTGCCCATGCTCACTTCAATTTCCCCAACATGGACTGGTCCTTGGAGCTTAACTAATACAAGCTAAAAGTTCATGCAGTGTTCCTGGCAAAGAGCTTTAAAGTAGAACACAAAGGGGAACTCCATGTTGCTGGTCCATCTGTCTCCCAGCTCTTACCCCCACCCAGGCAGGCCTGGAGAAAGGACAAAATAGACCGTGTCCTTGCCCTCCAGGAACAAAACTACAGAAGGGAAAGTTGTTGAGGCTGTCCTTCCAGGGCCCTCATGGCATGGAAAGTCTAAAGAGAACACGGTTTCCCTAAGACCTGTGAAATTGGCAGTCCAGATGAACTTAAGACCTTAAGGCTTTTAGGAAATAACGAGGAGCAAAACTGTACAAACACTGCGGAACACGGAAACATGGAGAACGCAAGAATTCAGAAACTGTTTAAAAGAGCCAAGCATTGGCTTTGTCAGGTAAACAGGAAATGGTGTACACACTCCTATATTCATTAAATTTACCTTTTTTGAGTAGTACATCTGATTATAAGGTTTAACACTGTAACATTTAAAAAACACTTTTAGCATATTTTAATTGGAAGCTCTAGGCTCTCGAATATTATAGAGTCATGCGTAAATCAGTGTCTACCTAATCAGTCAAGAAAAGTAAGCACCAGTGGCACAGGTTGGTAAGGACTTGGGGGTGGGAGGACTAGCCAGCAGATGCTCCTTCAGTGTGTGCCTGAAACCTTGCACTGTGGACACGTCTCATGTCACAGTGGCTTCCAGAAGGGTCTGTTTGTTCATTTAAATTCTCTTTGTTTTCATTTTTTTCTTTCTTTTTTCTGGGAGTCTATAGATTGAGCAAAAATGAAATCAGTGTCAGACATATTATATTTGATTTGGTTCAAATGTGGCTGATGTCCATTTGCAGCAGAGAAGAACTGAGGGGAGGAAGGTACATAGTGTTGCCAGCAAGGGGACGCTGAACAAAAACAGTTTGCCATTCATTGTAAAAGTGGGCGGGCACCACATAGTCAGGGTGAGTCACTTAACCAAGACAGGGGACTCAAGGTTCAATGAGCAGGGATAAAACCAAGGTAAGGGGGGGAAAAAAAAGGTAAGTACAGAACTTTCAAGAAACAAGGCCAGAACATTTAGAGAACAAGCTGCAGCGGAGGCTGGCTGGAGAACAGTGGTCAGTGCGGGTCTGCTGAATCACTTGGGGAACATGATGACCACATCATACCCTCAGGTGGTGTGACTTGCTCCTGGGCATGCTCTTCCCAGTAGATTCGATGGAGAAAAGAAAAAAAAAAAAAAAAAAAAGCCCTTCTCTTTTGGGTGAATGCCACAATCAGTGCACACGTAACATTCAGGGAGGGGATGATGGTCTCCACAGCTTTACAAACACGCCTACAATGCCAGGACCGCATCTGTCACACACGGGCACATTCTGAGCATTTCCAATTGATGCAGCCACTTCGGGGTCAGGAGTCTTAACACTTCTGAATCATGAGGGTTGCTGAGATGCCCTTTTATCTCAGACGCCAGGATTTCCTGCAAAATCAGGAAAGAGGTGGACTGTTTCAGGGGTTCGTTCAACTCCTGTTTCTCCTGAAGCATCTTGTAAATTTCAGATTCTTCGTTGATGATGAGGCCACTTGGAGGCTGAACATGAGCTATGGGCATGCCATTGGCCTCCTCCCCGCTGGCAGCAGTTTTTGAAATACCAGCAGTATGTTATCTCAAGGTGTTGTTGAAGTTGGAGATGTTTTCAGAAGAAGAGAGGCCAGCCAGGTTGCTGTACTGGTTTGGATGACCCCAGGGAAAGTGCTGGAAGCAGGAGAGGCAGTAAAGAGCACAGTATTTGGATTGTAGGCACTTTCTATGTGCAGGACCTCGTGGGGTTCAGAGTGTAAATTCATCTTGTATGGATGACACTTCCTTTCCTCCGTCACCAGAAGAGACTAGATTTTATATTCAGATCTGGCTACTGTGACAGTCATGTTGTCTGTGTAGCCTTTGATTTTTTTCTGAGCTTCCAAGTGCATCATATGGCTGATATTTTCCCTATCAATGGCTGCAATTACATCTTTCATACATCAATTAGCTATAGCAGCCTTGCTTCTGAAAGTGACTGGGAAACAGCTGAGAGGCTGCTGGAGGTCCTTGCTGTCCAGCAGGCGGAAGCCTCATGGTCCTGGGCTCTCTGTTTCTGAATAAGAAAGTAACATAACTCTAGATGCTTTTACAAGCAAGTTTGACCTCAATCCCTACTCTAGAAAGCCAACTTTATCAAAGGCTCTCTGCTGTGGGGCCATGTAGTATGGCTGAGATGGGAGCTGCTGAATATTCAAAACCCTTTCCTCTCAGGGTATTATTGCCATTATCCTCCCCAAATCATCCCATGAATGCGCCATAGCAGGGGGCAATTCTCACGCTCTCAGCTTGCTTGCCCTTTCCGTAACCTCAGGGTCAGTTCAATTCAGATCAGAGGCTGCACCTCCTAAAGCTGGCTCCATCTCCACTAGGAATGCTAAGCAAGGCTGGGCACTGGGGAAGGCATGGCTAAGAACAGACAGGATCAAAATAACAACTGTTCCCATGAGATAACCTGCGTAGGAGTAGAGGGTGAATATCTATAGATGGTATCTAGTCCAATCCTCTCCCTCCGATGAAGGCTGTAGGCCAATCTTCTGTCAAGACAAGGGGCTGCCTTGCCCTGAGCCCAGGTGCCTCCCTGCATCCATGCTGGCCTGGAGTTCCCAGTCTGACACTGGGCTACCTGACTCCAACTACACAGAACATGCAGGGGCAAAGGTCAACAAGCCACCAGCATACCACCAGGGCTCCTATCCTTACAAAAGACTCCTGATCCACAAGCCAAATCTCTAAAGTTGACCCCAGAAAGGTTACTCAGCTCAGTCTATTTTTTTATATATATATATACTTTACGTTCGGAGATACATGTGCAGAATGTGCAGGTTTGTTACATAGGTACACACGTGCCATGGTGGTTTGCTGCACCCATCAACACGTCATCTACATTAGGTATTTCTCCTAATGCTATCCCTCCCCTAGTCCCCAACCCCGCGACAGGCCCCAATGTGTGCTGTTTCCCTCCCTGTGTCCATGTGTTCTCATTGTTCACCTCCCACTTATGAGTGAGAACAGGCAGTGATTGGTTTTCTGTTCCTGTGATAGTTTGCTGAGAATGATGGTTTCCAGCTTCATCCATGTCCCTGCAAAGGACATGAACTCATTTTTTTTATGGCTGCATAGTATTCCATGTTGTCTATGTGCCGCATTTTCTTTATTCAGTCTATCACTGATGGGCATTTGGGTTGGTTCCAAGTCTTTGCTATTGTGAATAGTGCTGCAATAAACATATGTGTGCATGTGTCTTTATAGTATAATGATTTATAATCTTTTGGGTATATACCCAGTAATGGGATTGTCTCAGCTTAGTCTTAGACGCAGTCAGTTCTATAACATTGCTCAACAATGAACTGATAGCTTAGATCTTAGTGCTCACAGAAGTTCCACTCTATCACACTGAGATACAGATGGTCATCAAGCCCTAGATAATGCATGGCCCAAAGAGTATCACAGTAAGAGTAGCTACCATCTGTCATATACATGTGCCATGTCACTGGTCATCACTCAGACTCAAGGTCCTGGACCGCCTCCCACATACCCTACAAGCCAAGAAAAAAGAGGGGTCTAGGGGTTTTGGGCAGATCTCTTCTGCAGGGCAATTCCTCACACTCAGCCTCTCCTACTTATGGTCCCAGCAGTTCAAGGACTTTTAAAAAACAGGAAGAAATAACATAGACATTGCCTCCTCATTCAGAACGCCCATTCCAAAGATTCTTTACAGCTCTACTTCACCATGTTTTTAGGAGTTTCACTTTCTATTTTTTTTTTCCTCTCAGCTTATAGGGGACAAGCAGAAAGAGAGAAGGGCCTTTACTATAGGAAATCATACCAATGCTTTTGAAAGGAAACCTTATCAATGAAAGTCCACCTTTCCTCCTGGTCAAGGATACTGCAAAGATTTACGCATTTTTCTGAGAATCATGTAGAAACTCTTTTGAGGGCATCTCTAGGACTAGTCTTTGGCAATAACACCTTATCTACAGCTAGTATTCATAGCACCACCACGGCTCTGGGAAGTATGGAATGGTACAGATCAGCTGTCTGAATCACACTCCTCATTACTCATTGCTTCCCTCGCTCCCTAGCAAGTACCCCACACTCTGAAAGGACTGATTCATTCTCTCCTTGACTTCATCCATTTGGCTTGTGATCCTGGCTTCCTCTGCCTTTTTATATGTGGAACAATGACTTTCAGTGTCCTTTGGGTGACTGTAAAACTTCACATATTTAATTAACATAACTTTCATGTAGAAATAGCTGCAGTAAATTGGGAGTCCCTAGAGGAAAGAATAGTATCATTTATATCTCTGTATGGTCCCATCTAAAACACTTCCCGATCCACAGGCTATGCATGTTACAATTCAGTTTGGTTGTTACATTAAGTATACGGAGGTTATTTCCCTACTTTGTGTCTGGAGAAGCAATTACCTTTAACTCCTCCAACCACCCTGGAAACAAGTAGGGAAATGCATATGCTCTACACTGCTTACCCAGAAAACAAAATAATTCCAGGGTTCCTGAACCTGTTAATGGAAAATCTGGAAAGCTGCTAAAGCAGTGGTAGTAAGAGATTACACTTCCCCCAGGTGAAAGGCGTGTTTCTCATAAAGTCAGGCAAAAGCCGGAAGAGTCATTACCTTATGCAGAGGGGAACATCAAACACAATCAATACAGAGCAAGCAAACGTGAGTTGCCCATTTCAAATGATCTATGATGTGTTTTCTTTTACAAATGCTTTTTGACATGCATTTTTCGTTCAATACCATCATGTACATTAAAACACATGACTCTACCTTCAGTGTAACAGTCTATGGCAAATCATGCTGGTCACATTCCCAACACCCATTACCCCATGTGCCTTGCTAGCAGATCCCTGCTTTCCTAAGCCTACAATAGTGAGCTCATTGCCTCTGCCAATGTTTCGTCTAGACATAGCCATGTGACCCATCCCTGGGCAATAAGATATTAGGGAAGTCTGTTAGGTGCTTTTGGAAGAGATTCTGCTGCTGCCAAAAGAATCATGTGAACAGGATACTGCGTTACTCACTTCTTCCTTTCTGCTTAGACATTGACATGTGATAACAAAAAAAGCAGCTACACATCAGAGAAAAAGACAGCCACAGAAAAACTACCCTGGAGCCTTGACATTACTGAGCTACTAATTCAATCCCCCAACCAGGGCCACTCCAAACATATGTGCAAGTTGTACACAGTCCAATGTCAGCACCATTCAGATAACTATATGAATGAATCGGTCCTCCCTGGAGTTGTGCAATCCACAGTCTGTACAGCCATAAGCAGCCCCACACTGCAAGCTGGAACCACAAATATGCAGACCTGAATCCACGTCTATGCAATACAGGAGGCAATAAATGTCCACTTAGTTTAAATCACTCCTAGTGAAGACTATTACTTGCAGCCAGAAGATCCTCAAACTACACAAGGAACTGTAGTTGGAGACCTGGTTGCTAGTTCTGGCTCCTCCGCTTAGCACCTCTTAGGACCTTGGTCTAGTAACCTGACCTCTCTGATCTCAGTCTGCTGTTTTGTGAAGTCAGGAAATCACTTAGGTCTTGTATGTTACTCTGCGATGGAAGTGACCACTTTCTTCGACAAAAGTACTGAGACTTCTGTATCTTTACCCAACATCTGACCACAGCAGATGCTAGAAAGCAGGCAGGGGCTGCTTCTGCATATTCACCACATATGATTCACTCTGTTGATGCAGAATCACAACTTCCCCTCATCCTCAAGCTCTCCTGGCTAAAACTCCTGCAATGTAAAGAAACTGCAAAACAGCAGAATGTCTAAAGCAGGGATGCAGATATTGATATTGCTTATAGAGTGAGGACTCTTTTTAATAAATACACCACTCATGTCTAATTCTTTTTTCAGTTTTCTAAGGGCTTTGCTCCCGGCCAGGCTGATGGCCAGTCTACCCCAGCTTTGCTGATGCTGACAGAATGGATGCTGCTTGAGAGAGTAACCAGACAGCTTTTACAAGTCCTTGTCCACGTAGCAGGCAACTGACTTGACACAGGTGCTGTTGTTAGGTAAGATATTCATGTGTAGTTACTATATAACCACCTGTGCTGCAGGACTCAAGCATTCTTCATAAAACTTGGCATGCCTTCAGAAGGCAATGGTGGTGGTTGGGGAGGGGGAGCTTGTCTGTGCATTTTAAGTGGCAGTTGAGATTTGATAATTTACAGTTGCTGCTGTTTCTGGCTGTGTGAGGATGCACTTCCACTGGGGAGAAAGCAATAATCCTTAGGGCAAGGCGGCAGACGGGTGCTAAGGAGCTACATGGACAGCCAGGAAGGATTAGGGTCTTGGAATATGGGCACATTTTTAGTATGCCTTTTCTGTGTTGCAATTCTCTTTAAAAATCCTCAGTCTTCAGTGAAGTTTGTTAAACTTAGTCGCCTTACGTTGGCTGTGCTTTGGAGAATAAAGAGAAGAGCCTGTGTCCATGAGAAATCAGTAGCAGCAGCAGATAAAAAAGATGCACTGAGATTGGTTGTTAGACAGCAGGGTCATATATTTGACTTCAGAATCCTGAAAGTGACCAGGCACGAAAACAGATGGGGACCAGGGAAATGATGCAGAATATTAGTAAAGACAGCTATTTGTTCCCCAATAATCTTGTTTCCTTCATCTGTTAAAATCACGTTTGTTTTTAAAGGTGAGCACACACTCACCTGGAATACAAACTACATTTTCCAGTCCACATCCCAGCTAGGGGTGGCCTTGTGATGGAGTCCTATCCAATGGGATGCAAACGGTGGTTGCTAGTCAATGTTTAACAATCAGTTCTGGGGGAGGGGGAGGAGTATGAATGGGTAAAGCCCTGATTTGTAATGTCTGCCAATTCCCATGGTACGAACACTCTCACCTTGGGTATTTCAAGCTTTGACCTTGATGGCACTAAACATGGAGCTGAATAGGAAGAGATACAGCTCTCACAAGTTGGCACCAACTGGTTCCAGCACATCGTTGGACGTAAGGAAGTGTTATATATGATTTCTGGGAGATGTCCTTAAAGAAGGAATGTCTCAAAGGGTTGGGGTATGCCCTTCGCCCTTTCCTCCTGCTGGCTGGCAGCGAGGTAGGCGTGATTGGTGGAACTCCAGCCATCATACCGGACCAGAAGGAACAAGTCACATATTTAGAAATGGTGGCGTCAAGACAGAGAAGCAGCCTGGGTCCCTGATGCTCACTGAACCAGCCCCGGAAAGTTTACCTGCAGAGTTCATTTACACGAAAACTGAACAAAAGGAACACTTCCTTCTTACAATCACAACTGATATTTTGAGTTTACCCTTTCACAGCAGAATCTATCCCAACTGAGGGCATCATACATGCTGGACAAGATATCTGACAAAACTACAACTTATATCTGGTAGAATCTTAAAGGATTCAGATTTGAAACAACAACAACAACAACATCTGAGCCTTTCTAGCAGGTACAGAGAGGATGGAAGGAGAATAAAAAGAAAAAAAAAAAAAAAAAGTGCTTAGCTGTTACAACTCAAAATATATCAAGCACCTCCCAGAGCACAGGCAGGAAAAAAATAAACACAGAGCAAAGTCAGCAATTATATAAATATCAGTAAAGAAAGCAGAAAAAGGAGGAAAGTAACTTGAAAGTAATCCCTGTCTACCTCAGCTCCTCCTCTCTGACCTACAGACCCACGATGAAGGACAAGCCAGCCTAAATATCAATACCTTCCTCCTTGGACGTGTGGACCCAGCTCACAAATCCACAAGCCAGGGGCTCAGGGAGGACTCTCCTGCCAAGGGCAGTCTAAATCCTCTGCCTGAGAAAGAAAGACTGTTCTCAGACATCTTTCTTCTAGAGCTTTATTCCCAGGCTGAGAAGACAAATGAGGAACATATGGTCACTTGGGAACGAAGTTGACTCAGAGGCAGCATTCAGGCAATTCAGTCCGTTCTGCCGTTCTGGAGTTTAAATGTATGGCTCAGGCAGAGCCTGGCTGGTTTTTTTCTATGTGTTGTACACTGGGCACATGATAAAGGCAGAATGACTCACTTAAAATATAGGCAAAATGTAACAGGTGAACCCCTCTGAAAAGTGCTATGCAAAGAGAAGTTAATAGTGTCATAAATATATTCCTATCTATTTTCGAAATACTCTATGGTTTTCCCAGGTCCAACACGCAACTCAGCAATGCTAACTGAATATCTGTGATGTTACAAAACATGGGTCACTGTGCTCCCTCTGTGGGGATCCTACGGGGATATTTGTCATTCACTCCTTATCTAGAGTCTTTGACTATACATTTACTTCCCTTCAGACTCTTGGCCACTTGAGACTATTAGGACTTCTGCAGTCAGCATGATTTTCAATCCCTCCTCACCAACTACACACTAGTTCTCTCCCAACAAAGGGAATGCTAAGAAATGAACTTGGCATGATGGTGGGGAGTGGGGAGATTCTGGTTACAGGAGAAAAGCAGCAGGAAAGAGCAAGACCAAGTCAGCAAGAAGAGAAAAATTAGCCTGATGGAGGCATACACAAACAGATGAACACCTGTGGGACAAGGGGCTGTGAAAGCAGCTAAATAAAGCACAGCCCAGTTCTTAGATAAAAACTAGGCAAGAACAAAACTTCTAGTCATATATCCTCCAGAATCCTGACAGTAGCTTGCATTTAGAGTCAAGCATCTTTACAAATATTTGCAGATAACTGCTGCAAACATTTAAGGATTCACAATTATCTTTTTTTTTTTGAGACAAAGTCTCACTCTGCCACCCAAGCTGGAGTACAGTGGTGGATCTCAGCTCACTGCAACCTCCACCTCCCTGGTTCAAGCGATTCTCCTGCCTCAGCCTCCCAGGTAGCTGAGACTACAGAAATGCGCCATCATGCCCAGCTAATTTTTGTATTTTTAGTAGAGACTGGGTTTCACTGTGTTGGCCAGGCTGGTCTTGAACTCCTGACCTCCTGATCTGCCCGCCTCAGCCTCCCAAAGTGCTGGGGAATTTCAGGCATCAGCCACAACATCCAGCCACCTTTATTATTCTTAACTCAGACATCCAGGCACTGGAGTTAGAACTATCTAGGTTTACATCCTGGGCCTGGCATTTACCAAGTTTAACAAACTGTGTGCCTAGCCTCAGTTTCTCCAGAAACTTACAGAATTAGAGAGAATCAACATAAAGCACATATGTGAAAGGTCTGCAAAAAACAATATTCTACAAATCAGAGCTATACAAATTTGGGGGTTGAAAAAATTTATGGTTGCTGTTGATATGCAATCAAAATTAAAATTGATTAGGTTGATGGCATAGTTTGAAATTATAAAAAACTGAAATGAACCAAAACATATTACACAAATACACACTTCAAGCATCTTGGTCTCCAAATGAGATAATGAGATAAACCTGGACAAAATCTAATGCTGCTCTTACAGTAAACTCTATCTCCACTTTCAGACCTCCATCCACTACCCCCACTCTCTGCACCCCACTCTCTGCCTATTCTCTTGGGCAAAGGGGTAATTTCTGTCATTTTCCTTTTTAATGGAGGCCTGACATCTGTAGATTACCCATATTATCACACTGGCACCCTGGCCAAATTCTAAAGTGTGGCTTGAAACTTTGTGAAATAAACCTACCTCTGTAAAATAAGCCCAACAGTGAAGAAGCCTATTTTTGGCAATTCAGTTTATATGGGGTTAATTTAATGACAAAACTGTCTAAAAGCTAAATTACTTTTGTAGTCAGAAAACATCAAAGCAAGTATATTTGTCCCTCAAATATAATTCTGATTAAAAAAGCAGAGAGCTGCTTCCAAAATCTAATAATCTCCTTAACAAGTGAAACAGAAAGAATCTCATCAGTAGTTTGGAGGATACATGGCAAAGTATGGGAAACAGCCTGTAAAGGGAGCCCATGAGCTGATTAGCAGCGGGTGAACTAATTCTTAAGTAGGAACAACTTAGAAAAAAATGAATGTAGGTTGAAAATGTCCTAATTTAGGACCAGTGTTGATCATCATCAAGACTCTGCAAACTTCTGAGCCAACCAGTTACGCAGCATCTAAATTAATGTTGTAGGTTTTTAAGGTCAAATTACTACTAGAAATTTTGGTTATACACAAAAGCTATGAAATTTTCCTGAGTAAATACACCTTACATTTCTGGGGTATATATTTTGAACCAGTTTAGCTGAAGCTAAAAGCCAGACTAGAAGCAAGGAAATAAACTCACTTGTCAAACTCATCAAAGAGATCACAACTCTGCAGTTTTGAAAGAGCAAGTCGAAAATATTCCGCTAGAAAACAAATGGAGTGTTATGAATAAAAGGGTAATTGTGTCTTTTTAGTACTTAGTAAACCACCTTACTCCCTCCCCCACAAACCCATTTCCAACCAGCCATAGCCTCATTGATTTAGTCTGTGAAAAATTAATGATACAACTGCAAGTAGCCAGCACTACTCCCATTCAAAATGGTAAATGTTCTAAAGACACTTTCCAAAACCTCCCCAAAACACAACACATTTAATCTGAAAAACAATCATATAATTTTAAAATAGCACGATTCTAAAATCGAGGTTAGAATAGAAATAGTAAGTTTAACCCAATTAAATTTTCAAATTCTCTGCAAAATAGTTTTAAAACACAAAATAAAACAAGACAACCCCCGCCCTCACAGGATCAGTTGAATAAGCAAAATCTGACTCACAATGTTGTAGGCTTGTCACCCTGGGCTTTTATGATCCCTCAAAAATCTAGAACTTAATGCTATATAGGGCCAATCACTTATCAACAAGCAGAAGGGGAAGTGTTTTATCATTAGAAGATGGAATCATTATCTCTTAACTTAACAAAAATAAAATATCCACTGGTTAAATTAAAAGACTGCTTAAGGAGATAAGAAATGCCGATGAAATAAAACTCACAGGTAAAAAGAAGCCATGGGAAGCTAGGAAGGAAGCTAACCCTCAGGTTTTCCTGCTAATTCTAAATCAGAATAAAGTTAAGGCACCAGAACTTACATGGATACATGCTGGCAGAGCAAATGTAAAAAGTAGTTTCTCAACAACAACAACAAATCTACCCCTGTTATCCTTTGGTTCTCTACTGCCTCAAAAGGAGTGGAAATTTATATTTTAAAATATAATTCATTTCATTTCATCCCAAAATCATATCCGTTGGAAATCATTAGGAAGCAGAAAGAATAAAATTATATTAACATGCCATTCTCATCAAACACCAGTCAAATTTAACAGAACCAGGTAAGAATAGTACTACTGACCTGATGTTCTCATCCCATAGGGCAAATCAAACTTATCGCTACCATACAAGGAAGCAATCTTTCTAAAATCAGCTGCACACAGGAAAGGGTGAAACTGATGAAACCTGGAAGGAAAGGATAAAGAATGATTTTGCCAAATACCTACTATATTTGCAAGCTTTTAAAATCAAAACTAAAAATAACTATAGCATATAATTCATATCGTTATACTGGCTATATGAAAAATGTATAATTTTTTTTTTAATTTTTAAAAATAATGTTAAACCGTGCTGAAACATTGCATAGAATGGGGTAGTCAATGGAACTACACAACTGAAATGAAAACGCTTTGCAGCTGCTAAGATGAAAATTATGTTACAACTCAGGAAGTAAAAATAAAACTTAAAAACAAACCAACAGCAAGTGATAAAATAATAGCCATACATAGGAAAAAACAAAGTCATATTATATAAGTACTGATGCTAAGCTATTTCTAAATTTAAAAGTACCATATATGTGAAGTTGTGTCAGCTGTGACGAGTCTGGGGTCACTAACCCATAAATAACAAAACTGAAATCCACACCCAAGCCTAATTATAAGGAAAGATGTTCTCTTTATAACACTGAAGATAAAAGGTCCAGGTTTCCCAGAAGAGCTTCTCCAAATTGCTGCTGGCCTTTCTGTTTCTGAGAAAGTGGCCTCAAGTACGCTCTAGGGGACGGCCCTCAAAGAATACTGTCCACATGACAAGCACAAATCTACTTGTCACTTACGCTGTAGGCTTATCTACCTGCTGGATAATCTTGCATAAATACCTTAACCCTTTTGGGTTTTCTCAGAAAGGAAAAGATGATCTTTTTTGACTAAAGTTAGGGAGTACCTTAATTCTAGAGTCGCATTTTAACCTGTGGTCTGCAACCCATATGTGGCTCATCAAATTAATTTTGTGAGTCATGATCAGCATCTTTTTAAACAGTGAATGGGACAGAACACAGTATATCTGGAGTAGTAAAGGTACAAATTGTTTTTTTTCTTATTATAAATATGTGTTTGCACTATGTCCCAAGTAAAATGTATTTCTTCCTGTGAGTCATGTTCAAACAAGTTTTAAAACACTATTCCAGTTTTGTAGTGGTCCTCACTGGACGCACACCCCTAGAAAGACTACAAGCAGCCATAGCACACTTGGAATCATATACCAAAAAGTCTGATGTATTTGCAGTTTCCCGGAGAGTTGATTGATTGTAAAGGGATCTGTAGCCCCAAAGAGTTAAAAATCAGTAATAAAAGACAATAGGGAAAAAAATGAATTCTTAATGCTTCATAGAAAAATTGCTGAACAGATTGTGCCTGTTTTACCCAATTAAACATGCCTAGAACAGACTTTTATTTCTTGTTATCTAGAGCATTTTGACCAGCAATCTGTCAAAGTCAAGGTGACAGAGGAAAAAAACATTTGTGAATAGAAAAGTAAATTCTTTACAAAGCCCAAGAGCCACAATCAACAATCATTATTTGCACTCTATGTAGTTCATTAAAAGTTAATAAAAGGGAAAATTTCTACTCAAAAAGTTTAACCTAGAGGCAAGGAAGGAGAAGCCACAAAATAATAAGGGTGGAAAATAACATGGGAGCAACCAGGGGGAAAAATGAAACCCTAAAGAACAATTCGCTTTTTTATAGTCAAACACAAACAGACCTCTCTAGCCTCACCTGTGTGAAAAGAATACTGGTTTGATTGAGTTCCTCAATGCCTTTTCTTAAAATATATGCAGAGTTCTGACTAAAAGCACAAAAAGAGACAGGATATTCAAGCTCTTCCTTAAATATGGGGTGTCCACTTTATACTGCTAAGATTTGCATTAAAAAAAATAAACAAGTGTGGAAAATGATTACAGACACATTTGGAATATTTTGTATGCCACAGGTTTTTTTGATATATTTTTACCTCAGCAGAGAGGCAAAAGCTGGCTTTGATAAACAAGGCTGGATCTTATTTCTCCGTTTCATTTCCACAGGTGCCACCCTATGAGACAAAAACAACATCAGTCAGAAACCAGAACCGGGCACCCTGCCCAAAGGGAAGCAAATAACCTGGGAACTCATTCATGCCACCACTGAGAGGTTCTCTGGCAGCAAACAAAAATACTCCCTGCACCCCTTGAGGTGTGCCAGTACCTTCTCCAAGCCCTACGAACACCTGAGATTCATGGAGGTAAGGCAAGGGAGGGTGGAAAGGCTGAGGTGATTAGCAACCCGTAAGTGATTCCAAGAGCAATGATTCAAAGGACCTTCAGAGAAGGGCCAGGATTACTGCATTGTAGAAGCCGCAACCAGGCTCACTTTTTAGAAGTCCCTGAAAGCTGGAGAAACCCAAACTCACCCCAACGGCACGTGGCTATTTACTCCTCCTGCCACACCTGCTGGCGCACACCGGCAGCAAACACCACAGGAACACCTGACCTGAGCAGGTTCCACAGACCCTTGCCTTGGGATCCGGGGGACTCTACAAATCACACTATTGAGAGTCATTTCTAACTGTCCTCTATTCTTGGCATAGGTTAGCCCTCGTGTGCTCCTGAATGGAGTACGTGTCTCCACAGTTTAAAAGGGTATGTGAAACATGACAGAGCACAACCAGGAAAACAAATGAAAGGGGTGGTGGATGGCAGGATCCAGACTTAGCCGGGAAAGAGGAAAACAGCTTAATACAAAAACTTATTAATGATCATCAATTATGTGAAGAATTAGTATTTAAAAACTAATCAATTTTCTTCTATAATCAGCAGAATTCAAAATGAAGGAAATATCCTAAACCCTTCTTGGACAGACACAATTTTCCATTTTTGTGGGTACAAAACTCCCCATAGTTAGAACTGCTCGGTTTCTGAACTATGAGGCTAGTAAACTCCTTACGCAGGAAAACATCTTTTGTGAATACCACAATGGCAAGGGCTCCTTGATTTAAACATAAGGAAGATACATAAATATGGTGGACCAGCATACTAGACCAAGAAATCTCAATTATATTTGGAGGATAACATGAAGATACTGATTTCTAAAGTCATTAAAACATAGAAAACAATTTTAGGATATCGTGAAGACAACCTTTGGGTGACTTTTTTTTTTTTTTTTGGAGAAAGAATCTCACTCTGTCGCCCAGGCTGGAGTGCAGTGGCACGGTCTTGGCTCACTGCAACCTCCGCCTCCTGGGTTCAAGCAATTCTCTGCCTCAGCCTTCCAAGTAGCTGAGATTACAGGCATCCGCCACCACGCCCAGCTAATTTTTTGTATTTTTAGTAGAGACGGGGTTTCACCATCTTGGCCAGGCTGGTCTTGAACTCCTGACCCACCTCGGCCTCCCAAAGTGCTGGGATTATAGGTGTGAGCCAACGCGCCCGGCCTTGGGTGACTTTTTAAAAGAAAAACACAATTGTCTGTCTTAAATCATTTTTAAGGAAGCAAGTTCATTGACAAACAACTGAGCTAATATCCCAAGGTACTTCCTGTGACTATAGTAATGTGTTAGCTGAGGAGTGACATGGTCACTTCAACCCTGATGACAAAAGACTGCTTGATTGAGATCCTTTTCATCACCTTCTTTATCATTTTCCCTGTGACCAACAATAGGATTTGTAGGAAAGTAGCAATCTAGTAAGCTTTTTGCTTTCTCTTCTATTTTTGTCTTCCACTACTAAGGGTAAGACAGAGAATGTGGCAAAAATGTAGGGATAGATCCCCTTGATGTAGTCCTCATTTAGTACATAATCAGACTTCACAATTCTCTAGCCTGATATTTGGGTCCGAAGCCTAAAACTTTAGGGCCAAAACTATCCACCTGGCATTGGGTTTTTTCCAGTGGCCATTTGCCTAACGCCCTTCCGTGAAAAGCATTACAATTATTTTTCAATCAACCAGTAATGAAATCAAATGCAGAAGCATCAGCTTTTTTCCATCAAGTAAGCACAAGTTAGAAACATGCTCTAAGATCTACTATGACACACTGGCAAAAAGGACTGATTCTTTGTCTAAGACAGGAAGTTATGTGATTTATTTTAGCATAATTATATACTGCCACCCATTTGGGATTTAAAGGTCATCAAAACATTTTTCCTAGCCAAAGGACTGACAATGAGAAGGTTAAAATCCCTATTACAGAGGCTTTCTCTTCAGTGGAATTATCTGTGCCTCATCAAAATTTTACATGTGGTATTTCAAGTCAAAGCTATTTCAAAAGATACATATATCATCATTCACCAAATATTTTTAAACAAAGGAAACCATATGTAACATCTGTAGTTTATCAATAATCTATTATGCAAGCATTTTAGGTTCTAAAAGTTAAGTACCACTGAGCCCAGTGATTACTCCATTAACTCAAGGAGATGATCTATGGCATAAATAAAGAATGTTATAACCCAAAGATGGTTAATACCATGCCTTCAGTGGGAAGTCACTAGAAAGTAGGTGTTGCTTGTCAACTTTTTTTTTTTTAATTATACTTTAAGTTCTAGGGTACATGTGCATAACGTGCAGGTTTGTTACATATGTATACTTGTGCCATGTTGGTGTGCTGCACCCATCAACTCGTCAGCACCCATCAACTCGTCATTTACATCAGGTATAACTCCCAATGCAATCCCTCCCCCCTCCCCGCTGCCCATGATAGGCCCCAGTGTGTGATGTTCCCCTTCCTGAGTCCAAGTGATCTCATTGTTCAGTTCCCACCTATGAGTGAGAACATGCGGTGTTTGGTTTTCTGTTCTTGCGATAGTTTGCTGAGAATGATGGTTTCCAGCTGCATCCATGTCCCTGCTTGTCAACTTTTAAATTGTTCCAGATACAATCTATAGGACACTGGAATGGTAAAACCCCAATTTACAATGAAAAGCAAGAAAATATTCAAAATGTTACAATGGTACAAGTTTTTTTTTAATAGGACCCTCTACTATAATTTGTGGATTTGTGTGAAAGACTAGGTTGAGAGTTATTTTTAAATAACAAAATGAAACTTACCAATAGACATTCGTTCCCCATAGTATACAATGCAGTACATAATAGAGGAAGACAGCACTCAGGAATATGGCCACAAGATACCCTCTCATGGCTGGCTCACCTGAAACACAAGGAATGAAGTCCAGAGTGAAGGTCAGGTTGTTACACAAATGGATTTGTACAATGGCTCAAAGATAAGCATTATTGGGAAAAAATATAGAAAAGGAACTATAGAAAAAAATGATGTGGGCCTGTAATTTTGGAAATACTCAATGTGCAGAAAGAGAATGTTTTTTCTGTCTCTCCTCTTATCAATAAGCATAACATAATGTATGTTTAGGCCAATAAACAGTTCCATGGTCTCAAAGGTAGGGGCCTCCCTACTACTTTCTCATGTTAGGTAAGAAAGAATTCCTCCAGAATAAAATTTTACACATCTGTTCCATATCCAACACTTTTTTGACAAACATTAAAACCTATCTCTCAGTAGAAAGTGAATAGATGCCTTAAGCTGTGAATAAACATTTCATTTCTTTAGTGCTTGAAATGATGTTAAAATGTTATATATTATAATTTTTACAAGTCATTTTTCTAATTTTTAAAAACTGAGGAAAAAAGCCACTGAAAAAACATTTCCCTCATCCTCAATTTTTATATACTTTTAGATCCAACTATTTGATTTTTTTCAACATCATAATTCAGGTATATTCAGCTACTTGCTTGTTTTGTATTAAATTGACAATACCGTTCATTACACATTTCCAGACAGACAAAAACCTTGACACAATCCTCTCTAAAATGTAAATGCAAAAAAAAGCCTTTATAGAATATATTTTAAAAACCTGTAAAACATGTTTGTTTAGTTTTCTCTTTTGCTTCAAAGAAAAAAAGGAGAAGTTTCCACTGTCTTATGTAATTAAATGTAAAAGACAAATTTAATACATGGTTCCATAACAGACTTATTTCAATGCATGTGACTTTAAACAGGTATACTGCTTCTCTGTCTCCCTATCAAGTTTCTAGTTCATCTGAACAATTGCATGTGCCACTCCTTTCACTCCTATCCATGCCTATTAACCTTAATCAAGGCAATGCAGTACAGAACCTGGGAGTCTGGTTGAATAAATTTCCAAATAATGTGGCATTGCCTTCTTTTCAGTGGTAAATATGTTCAAATGGAAATCTTAAACCACTCCCTTGCCTTCATAAGTAAAATATAATACTAAACATAATTTAAACTTTCCTTGATAATATGGGGTCAGCTCAACAAATATAATTGTTCTGGGCTTTCTTACAGTTGAAACCCTCTGCAGCTAATGGGTGTGTGGGGCTATTTGCTAAGCAGTCCTAAACTGGCATGATTATCTGGTTGAGTTGTTTTTCACTCCTCCCTTGCTGTCAGCTGTTGTTTCTGGCTGCTATTAATGCAGTCACCACTCCCACATGCCACTATTCTAAATTAGTTAGAAATGAAAACTATGTCAGGAGAAAGCAAATAAATAAGCAAGTTAATGAGCAAACTTTAGTTTACACATACTTCTAATTAGGTTTACATAATCCCTGTGAAGAGTCAACACTGGTTGGAAACCAGAAGACAAGATTCACAGCTAACTCTACATACGGTGTGGGGAGCCTAAGGTCAATCAGTCTACCTCTTCTCACCTGAGGGTCCTCACATGTTTACAAGTCAGAACACACCATCTACCTCTTTGGGTTATTAGACTGTCCTGGAAGGCAGTTTACCATGGGCCAAAATAGTGATGAACATCTTCTTAAATGCTCAAATTAAACATTTAAGGCTCCACTAAGAATAACATCATTTGGCCAGGCGCGGTGGCTCATGCCTGTAATCCCAGCACTTTGGGAGGCCGAGGTGGGTGGATCACGAGGTCAGGAGCTCAGTACCAACCTGGCCAAGACAGTGAAACCCCATCTCTACTAAAAATACAAAAAAAATTAGCCGGGCGTGGTGGTGGGTGCCTGCAATCCCAGCTATTCAGGAGGCTGAGGCTGAGAATTGCTTGAACCCAAGAGGCGGAGGTTGCAGTGGGCGACTCCAGCCTGGGCGACGGAGTGAGATTCTGTCTCAAAAAAAAAAAAAAAAAGAGTAACATTTATGCAAAGATCCAACGAGGATAAAACTTACCAGTATCAGCAATTTTTTTAAATGTATTTACATCTAAGACAGTATATGAAGGTCTAGGGAAAGAAGTCAGTATTTACGAGTCAAAATTCCTATGTATTCTCCAAAACATACTCTTTGGGCAATTTATGTATTATTCTACAGAACATGGAGGTATGGGTAAGCGAGACTTGTGTTACTGTTTTGTTGTTTTTCATTCACTATTATGTGGTCTAACTAAAAACAAAGAAGTGTGACAGAATGCTCTTCTTTCAAACAATAAAATGAACCCACTCTTGAACAGCTACTGCATACACGACCTGAAAAACATTTAGGAAGTTTAGGCACTCTCATATTTCATGTACAATTCACAGCTTCGGTTTTCACGTTGCAAAGCTTTGAGACGGGCCAGCCAGGATATCCTTGTGATAAACATGGTTCCTCTGCTTGCTCACAGGAAAAAGCTTCCACAAATAAACCAATTCTCTAATTATATTCTATAAATGGAAAGGCCATTTTGCTTTGAGCAAAAGCTTTCAAAGAAAAAACAGAATTTAAGAGATTATCTGCTTTTAAAAAGACATATGCCTTTTAATATAGCTTTGATTACCAAAACAAACAGTTTTCAAGATCTTGACATTAAACAGGACCAATGCCAGCTTTGTGGCTGGCTGCAGATGCTCCTAAAATCAGGGTCCCTAAAACATCCTTTACAAAAATGTGGGTAGAGGATGGTAAGGGAGAGAAGGACTCACCAGTAGAAGACAAACGTTCACACATTCTCCAACTAAGATATGTAACCCAAGGTACAAGTAACCTACATATGCCAAATTAAACTCAATCTTGACAAGTTTCACTTTTCTTTAATAGTAAGAGCATATTTTGTGTGGAGCATTAAAGTTCACAAAAAATCTTTTATGTGTCCATCCCTCCATTTAAGGCTCAAAACAAGCTTGTTAGATGGGTGTGCAGGTATTGTCTTCTTGATGAATGAGGAAAACTGAAGGCTTATAAGGTTGAGTTGTCTGAGGTCACACAGTTTAAGGAAGACAGAAATAGATTTATAGTTCAATCATTTCTTTCTCAGAGTTCCATTCCTGGAGTCATCGTGTCTCTCAAGATAAAAAGCACAAGGCAAATCTAAAAGAGATAATTCTAATCTGAAAATTCCTGATGGTGTTCCACTGGTATCTTGAAGTCTGGAAGGGTAAATTCAGATATTGGTGAAAGGAAGTGACTCTAGGGCAGGCTCAAAAGTCTGCTCCAGGAGGGGACTTGTTAACATGCACGCTCCTGAGCCTCTACTCAATCTGAATCTCTGGGGCTCAGGAATGTGCATTTAAACAGCATCCACCAATTTGATTCTTACGCACACTAAATTTTCAGAATCACTGCTCTAAGACACACAATAGAATCATGGAAGAATTTCTGAAATACAGAGACTGTAACAGATACAGATCCCATAACTAGATGCTTTGTATTTTTTTTTATTTTTATTTTTTACCCTAAATGGTAGATGCTCAATGAATAACAACTGATTAGAAGCATTAAGATGTGTGAGTGCTAAGCCTGTGCCAAGGCATGTGATAATTGCTTTTGGTATATTGCCTCATGACATCCTGACAACCACTTTGCAAAAGAAGTAGCAAACTTACAATTCCCATTTTATAGAGGAGGAAACTAAAACTCTGAGAGAAGCAATGACTTTGTTCAGCTGACAAGTAGCAGAATGAGGACTCAAATCTGTCTCTATCAGGCCACAGCCCATTCGTTATACTACCACCCCCTAGATGTCAGCTTTCACAAACGAGCACAGGCCCCTTTTGCTACCAGACTAAACATTACTCAGCATTTCTCCAACTTGTCAATCCTGCAAGCTCCTTAAGCAATATCAATTCTAGTAACTGATGAAATTGAGATAAAGCTTATAGTACTTTTGATTCAAACTCAGCTGAAATAAAAGCCTGTTACTCCCAACCCTGTTCCCAGTTCTGCTCCTCCCAACCATGCTAGCATTGTTTATAAAAACAAAACAAACTCTATGGAGAAACACTTGAAGAAATGTCAGGTTTTTTTCAGACTCTCCTAATGCTTTTACAAACCAAAGGGAGCTTGCTTTTCCAACCAGCTAGAACAAAGCATGTTCGGCAATAAATTCTAGAAACATTGTTCTACTGATCAGGTATTAGGTTAGTGCAAAAGTAATTGCAGTTTTTGTCACTTAAAACCAACCTAATAGAAAAACTCTGTGGGTATCTCAGTCAATATGCAACACCAAGGAAGAAAGACCCTTGGCATTCTCTATTCCAGATGCTGAGCACACACAAACCTCACCTGCCTGTCTCCTCCATCCCCAGTTCCATCTCAGTATGGAAGCAGGTGCTTCCTAATGCCCATCTGCAAGCCCAGCCACCCCAGGCACTGGGACTGATTCTAACCCAAGGAAAGAAAGTCTGAGGAGTCCTTGACTAGCAGCTCAGCAGTTGGGTCAGGTTCCTGTGGATCCAGTAGTGATCCTGGTCATCTCATCCACTGGACCTGGGTTCCTGCTGCTGGGTGCTTAAACTATATCATACTTTTCCAACGTCTGCATTCTCTTTCCTAGTCACCCTAGCAGTTCTGCAGCCAAACTTCCATTTTTTTTTTTTTTTTTTTTAGTCACTAGAATCCTAAACCATGTCCCCATCCACTCTGGGGTGAGGCACCCTTCTGTTTCCTGCTTCCTCAGTGACAGACACCCTACTCTTTCTACTACTAGGTCTCTTCTCACACCCAATATGCTGTTGTTCAATAATAATATTCAGTAACTCACATCTTTGTGCAAATAAGAGAAGCAGATCCCCCTTCTACCTCCACACAGCCTGTGGGCACCTAATGTCTAATATCTCAGCAGCATCTAGATTTCAGCCACAACCTTCCCCTTAAGCAGGTAACCTTGTTCATGGCTCACCTCCATACCTTTACTAGGTGGCCCTGCTGACACCTGAGTCCATTCAGCC